ACGCCCCCGCCCCCGCGTGCCGCCACGACCCCACGCTTCCTCGTCCGGCCCCAGCCCCACGCGGTCCGGCCCCCCTCCCGCCCACGCTCACATATCCCCCCTCACACGTTTCCACACACACACACACACACACACACACGCACGCACGCACACACGCACGCACACACACACACACACACACACGCACACACACACACACACACACGCACGCACACACACGCACACGCACACACTCACAAAACCCACCTGCGAAGCTGTCGAGTGTGAAGCTCCAGCCGTACTGTGCTGCGCTGAAGGCCACGTTGCCCTTGAGGGGGTCCAGCGTCAGGGCCGCCGCCTCGTCACTGCCGGGAAGGACGCCTGGGAGGGGGGCGCGTGTGTGATTGTTTCAGTGTGTGTGTGTGTGTGTCGGTGTGTGTTGTTAGAAAGAAGGTCGCATGTGCGTTTGTAAAAGTGAGTGTGGGCAGGGAGCGGGCTGTGAAGGGTGTGTAGAGGGCGCACGTCCCCAGGTTGGGTGTGCTAAGAGAAGCCACCACGGGCGACACGAAGACCGGCGGAGCGCCCGCCGCGCCCCGGCGTCTCTCGCCCCGCCCTCCACCTTTTCCCTGAAACACCCCTCACCCGCGGCATTACGAGAGAAAGTGCGACAGGCTCCCACAGCACATGTCCCCCCGGGTTCCCTTCTCCCACACATCACATTCCGCCCCCCTCATCCCCCCTCCCACACACACCCAATCACATCAGGCCCCAGCAAGCCCCTCTCACCCGCGGCCTCGTAGAGCACTTTGTTGATCTCCTCTATGGTGTGCTTTAGCTTGTAGTACGCGTCAGCAGGAGGAAGCTTCAGCTCCAGGATGAGGCGGTCGACCTGGTGTGTGTGTGTGTGTTGTGTGTGTGTGGTGTGTGTGTTGTGTGAGTGTTGTGTGTGTGAGTTTTGTGTTTTAGAGTTTTGTGAATGTGTGTGAATGTGTGTGTGTGTGTTGAATGTGTGTGTGTGTGTGTTTGGGGTGGGTGGGGGTGGAGGGGGTGGTCGAACGCGAGGTCAAACCGCATGGCTCTGGAGTCGACAGGGTGCGGGCTGCATGCGTGATCGCGGATGCGAGTGTCGCACCAAACCCCAGCGGACCCCACCCGTCGGCCCCCACCACCTAGCACCCGCGCACACGTTGACGCTCACGCGTAAACACACCACACTCAAACATGCACGCACACACACACACCTCACATACAACATGCAAACACACACACACACACACACACACACACAATCTCAAAACCTCAAAACCTCAATCCCACCCAATCACGCACCTTGCTGATGAGCAGGGTCACCGCCAGCCCCTCCGCCACCGCCTGCCGCGCCGCGCGCTCCGCCACCGCCACCACCCCCTCCAGCGCATCCACCACCAGCAGCACGCCGTCAGCCAGACGCATCGCCGCTGTCACCTGCGCGGTGGTTAGGGAGGACAAAAGGGGGGGGGGCAAGGGTTGGCGGGGACGGGGTTGGAGTTGAGGGGGTTGTGGGGAGGGTGTCGTGGCGCGGGGGTTTGCGCGGGGGTGGTGTAGGAGAGGTGCATCAGAGGGGGGTGAAGGGGCTGGGCAAAGGGGGACGCACACACGCACAAACACACACACACTCATACAAATGCGCACAAGCACACACACACACTCATACGCTTACACACAACCTGACACACACACAACCAAACACACACAACCGCACACACACACACGCACAAACACACGCGCACTAACAAACACACACGAGCCACCCAAGAACCCTCGCCGCGCATGCAATTGCCAGCCCCCGCGCGCCTCATCATTGAAGTTGACGTGCCCGGGGCAGTCTATCAAATTGAGCAGGAAGCTCTTGCCGCTGCCGCCCTCCAGCACCAGGCTCATGGGCACCATCTTGATGCTGATGCCGCGCGCCTGCGCATCGGGTTCCAGGTTTCAAATTTTGAATTTGAGGTGACAGATGTTGGCGGCAAAGATGCCTTGCCGGGGATGCGCCATTTGTTGCAGCAAACACGGAGAGGCGCCCATGCAGCAAAGGTAGGAGTTTCGGAAGAATGAACGTGCGCCAGTCGGGAGGGGCGCGTCAGGTGCTCGCTCGCTGTGCACGCCCAGCCAAACCCTCGCCTGTCCCGACCCCCCCCCCCCCC